TGCCTGCCTAAGCAGAGAGGATGTTAGAAAGCAGATCCAGTCGCAAGTAGATGCTTTTCTCTGCTCTAATCCAGAAGTCTAGAGAGCTGCTCTTTCCAATGCTCAGGCAAATTAAAGGAAGTTTAAACCTGGTGCCTAGGAGGAATCTTTACAAGAGTTTGATTACCTAGCAGCAGAAGTAGGTGGCTCCGCTAGCAGTGGAGCACAGGTAGAGTATACTGGAGAAAAAAAATAAATGGAAGAGCCTAGGGAAATAAACAGCATGAAAGAGATGAGGATTATCTTCCCAGTAAACTGAGAAATATGTGCTTTTTGGTAAAACAGTTATTTTCTGTATCATCTTATTTTCCCATAAAGGATATTACCTAGTAAAGTAAAAGGTCTAATTCATGAATAGGCATCGTAAAGATTTTACTTCCTTGTAAAATCTGGGACCAAACTTTGTCACTTGGAACTAAAGCATCACGTGCTCAGATTGAAACATCAATAGCTCTCAAATGATTCCAAGGGCAGGACAAGGCACTTGAAACTTTGCAGAACTATCTTTTGTAGCTAACACTCTCACCAGTGCAAGTTGCATCAGATAAATGAATGCAATAGTCACCTTCAAGGAAACTTTCCTCAAAGAGAAAGTCATTAGGAACTAAGAAATTAAAACTGAGCTGATATCCTCTCTGAAACCTTGAGAAGCAAACCCAAAAATATCATATATGGATGTGCCACATATACATTTAGAAGAGATGTCCATCAGCTACTTGTGTGAATCCTGTTTTTTATAATATTTTGTACTACTTAGAGTAAGAGCCTTACTGTCTAACCCAGCTATTTGGTAAAACCCATCAGAGGAGTATCTTAATTTTTTATTACAGAAATTTATAGGAGTAGCTTTCCAGCCTACAGATAACTCACACTAGTTCTGCTCCTCTCTTCAGAGAAAAAAAAGCCATAGTAAATGAGTAAAAAGGTATAAGGTTCTGGACATAGTTGCACCCTGCCTTCCCTAGAAACAAGCTTTCCCAAAAAGACAATATGCAGGAAAAGAGAATGAGCGGAGCCTGGAGTAGGGTTAGAGATGACTGGCCTCATCTAGGAACCTCATCTGAAAACAAGGCTTCATACCTCTTGAAATTCTGTCTGAACTCATGTAGCTTTTTTTTCTTTTTCTTACAGCTCCAGTTTCTTTTGGAGGGGAGGATGGTGTAAGAAAAGCCAATGTAGTTTATTTTTTGACTTTATTAAGAGAGGAAACATTTAAACACAAAAGTTTTAATGGAGGCTTCACCACAAGGCAACTTTTTCAGCTCAGTTCTGAAAACAGGCGTCCTTAAAATGAGAAACCCCTGAGTGCATTTATGAGTTCACATGATGTCTGCATAGGAGCTAGAATTTGTTTTGTTCTCTTAAAAATAATACGCCTTTTAATATGTTTTTTTACTTATGCTTTGTTGCTTCAGATAGTCTTACATTTTACATTTATAGCATCTTTTGGTTCTTATCTTTTGTTATATAAAATTGAGCAATGTCTGTAGCACTTCTGATTTTGTTCAGATTTAAAGAAGAATTCTGCGTTGAAACAGATGTTAGAGAGCTTCCCTCCCTTTTCTGCTGAAATATTCACTGCTTTCTCATTTTGTTAAATGCTTTCTCAATATCTGTTTTGATCCTTGCAATACTCCCCATAGAAGTGCTGCAGCCCAGATGTGGGGAGTCTAAACCTGGGGGCAGGGAAGCAGATTGTTTTAGAAGTACCTCTTGTGACTAAAGCCTAAAAGGCTTGTGATGCTGCTATACTGCCAGTTTACTTAGCTTTCCCATTTTATTTATTTGATTTTGTTCTGTTGTTTTGTGGTTGTGGGGGTTTTTTTATTGGTGCTATTTATTTTTATTGTGATAAATTACATATCAGCATCCCATAGTCACTCCAGCTGGTTTCCATTTTTTAAAGAAGCTTTGGCTCGCTCTCTTTAGCTAGTCTTAATGAGACTTTTCCCGTTGGTCTGCACAGAAGTTCCTATTAATATCAATAGGACTTGAGCATGTGCATTAAAGGAATATGTCTCTTGGAGCGAGTGATCTGTGGCAGGCAGCCTTTGTCACACAGAGAGAGGAACTTTTACTGCCATCTTCATTTTATATTGCTGCCAGGCCTTTGCAGACCTTGTTTGTGCCATCTTCATTGCCTTGACTATGATCTTTCAGTCACCTTCCCATGACTTCAGCATGCTTCACAGGCAGCACCTACAAGGAGAGACGAGGGGAGGTACCAGGTATATAAGGAACACATTCTGCTCCCCTCATGATGAGTTTTGTGTTTCAGTGAGTAGAGATGCCATTATGGCTAGGTACCTGACAACTGGTGATTGTTGTGTGGATGACAGTCTTGTGCCACTCTTTGTTTGGGACAGCAGTGGGAGGGCTTTGTGTGTAATTTAATGAGATATTGTTTTGTTTCTCCCAGGCTCAGATCACAGTGAATGGGAACCCTGGCACTGCTGCCAGCCCAGTGAGTCACTTTCAAAGGCCTTTTTCCCCTTCTTCAGCTTACCCTCAATTACCAACTTCGCTCAATTCCAACATTGTTATCATGCAGCATGGCAGGATGATGGGTAAGCCTCACACAGAATGTTTGCTTTATACATTATGCAACATATTCCAGTACCTGTGGCAGAGATTGCAAACAATTGCAGAGTGCTTCACATTCGTAATGAAGGTATTGTCTATTCATCTACCTTGGGAAGTAAATGCAAAAAAAATAATAGCATTTATTGTTAGATACAGTAGTGATGCTGAACTGGAGCTACTATTAAGTTTTATTACTTTTGTATGTGACAGTGACCTCTTACCACCTTTCTACTAGCTCTACTGAGGAAAGAGCATGTATCAAAACAGCTCAACCTGTGCAGTGCCTTCAGATTTTGCCTTCTTTCAGAAACCAAGGGGCCAACTTTGTGCACTGGTTCTCCCCACAATTTCAGTAATCTTCAGTGGAAATACTGCTAACAAAGGATGGGGCGCTGGGCTTTTAAATACCTAAAGCCCTGTCAGTCTATAATTTGTTTTTGTATATTTTGTAGGGCATTGTTAATTTTAAAAAAACATAACAAAACAACATGTTCAGCCTTAGAAAGGAGCTTTGCCAGTATAATGCAGTTTTGTTAGAGCAATCATTCGCTTGCTGCTTTTTCTACCAGTGTTTTGCATATTCAGATAAGATGATGCATGCAAAATAGTTTGAATATGATCCTAGAGTTTTTTGTTGTACATGTGGGGAAATTAGGTGACAGTTCTTGCTCCAAGACTTATGGCTTAGACAAGTTCTCCTATCCTTATCATAGTGATAAGTACAGAAAATGTATACATGCATTTTTCCACCTCCCAGAATTCTAGATTCTTTGATTGCTTCCAGTTTGCTGATATAAAGGCCTTTCAATTCTGGTTTGGATATACCTGAAATGAGTAAAGTGTTTTTCTATGACTTTTACTCTTGTATGGTGCTGAAGTTTTGTATTCTGTGATAACGGCCTGATTTAATTCTCCTTGCTCATGTAAAAATCCCACTGATGGCCTCAGTTTGAGGTCTGTGAATAATGAAGGATCAAATCCAAAAAGTATTCTAAATTTAACATTATCCTTTTTGGGAAAAAGAAACAAATATTCAGTCATTTGCCATGTAGAGTTGCCCTTCACCATATATGTGTAGCACTGGATTATTTACAGGATTTCAAACTTGAGTAAACAGCTGAAACAGCCATGTCAAATCCAGCTCTCTACAGTAGGAGTGAGCAAAAATATTCAAATTAAAATTAAAACTTTCAGTCACCAGAGCTCCTTTTGCTGATTTATATTACAATTCAAATATTTTGCTTCAGAAGACTCAACGGATGTTTATGTCACGCAAAAGACGATTGCAATCTTCACCTGTAGTGTTAGAATATTTATTTTTACTTCCTACATTTATTCTGTGGTGGCATTGTCTCTCAAGCACTGTGCCTGCTCTTGCAAAAAAAGGTGCTTTGACATAGCAGCCCACTAATTTACTGAAACATGCTGCCTGAAGGAGTGGGGCTCTTTTCCTGCATTCAGGAAAGAAGTATATAATCTGCAACAGTACAAATTTTCATGTGATGCATCCTAGCAGTGAGGTGGTTTTTGTTAAATAAACAAGTCTGAATTTTAGAGGGACATGGTAGTAGTGACATATTAATTTCATTAATTATAAAGGAGGATCTGGGGAAGAGGAGCAGGAATATTGCAAGTCACCACAAAGCAGTAGCAGCCTGCACAGTTCACCTGAAGTGCTGTAGGTAGATCATTGGGTTGCTCTGCAGATGCCAAGGTACTGAGGTCTATTTTTATGGATTATACATAAAGGCACTCAAACATACTAACCTAACTTTAAGGGATTAAAGTTGTATATCAGAATTTGTTTTTTGAAAATATTCATGCATCAAAACTTAAATGTTTCTAAACACATATCACATAAGGCTTTGTGGAGGGCTGTTTGAAGTCTGTTGCTGTGCTTCCAGAACAGCAATTTTCTGTAGTTTACTAGACTTAGTAGGGGGGAAGTTTTGAAATGATATCACTAGTTTCAAGGAATGCATAGGAAAACTGTAAGAGTGATTTATAGGAAAAAGACTGCTGCTACTATTTCTCGATAGATTTTGCTAGGTCTTGGGGATTTTTTTTTCCTTTTTTTGTGAGCAAGATGCTGTGAAAAAGTGCCTCTAGGAGGCACTGAGTTGAATAGCCTGTCTGGTCCTTAAATAAGTTTATAATTCAGTTAATGTCACACTAAGTAGGGCAAAGCCCCAGCTAAGATGTTTTTTTTTTAAAGTGCTGTATATGTATGTTATTAAGATTATTTTTAGTCTTTGTACAGCATACTGAAATGGGGAAGCATATTATAACTGCCAAGTATGATTATTGTATCTTTACAAAATATTCTGTCATGTTATTTTTACAGAGTCCACAGAGACATACTCACAGCATGTTCAGACTGTTGGCAGCACCACCTCCACCAGTACAATACCAATCTGTAGATCCTCAGAAGAAGAAAAAAAAATTACAGTCATTAAAGCTCCACATTATGCAGGGATTGGCCCGGTAGATGAATCTGGAATCCCTACAGCAATTAGAACGGTAGGAAATTCTGGGGAATCTGTGTATGAACTCATACAATGAATTGATTGTTGTTAATGGCTTTTTCACATTCTTCTAGTCTTATATAATGTGGAATACAGTGTGCGCAATCAGCGAGCTCATGAATATAATATTGTGTGCTGACGGAAAAGGAGAATGCTGATGGGAGCATAATTGGGCAACTTCATGTTTTTACTTTTAATTAGAAGTAGCCAAAACTCTGTGTTTCTGTCTTGCTGCTTTTGTAGTTCTTGCCTTTTGGAGATACCCTGTAATTTAATTTGTTTTGTTATTTCTAAAATAAAGTTTACTCATACTATATATATGCATGCATGCATGCAAGTATACATACATACATACATACGTATGTGTATATATAAATCTCGCGCTTCTGCATTTTTTGGGTGGCAGTGCTTCTCCTATCATCAGACTAGTGAAGAAATGAATAATTTTGTTCTGATAATAATCTAAGTGATTAGCATTTTTGTGTAAGTGCGATATATAACCATTGTGTCCTTGAGTGGCACGTAAGCAAATAGCGTGGAAGCTGTTTCATCATGCCTAGCCCCATTTTGATCATCTGCCACAAGTCAGTGCCTGAGTGGTCCCAGGATGTCGAACTGGAGAGTTTTGTTTTCAGTACGCTGAAGCATTCTTTCCGCTCCGCTGTCAGGGCAGCCTCTTCTGGCTGGTCCAGAGAGCACAGTGGCAGCTGCACTAGGTCTGTAAAGCAAGTGCTTGCTGGCCTTCCCAGCCGGAGGAGAAGAAGTGTTGTGCTAGACGGAGAAAGAGTAAGAAGAGTGGGAGCCAGGATGAAAGCGGCAGAGCCCTTGCAGGTGAAGTCTTTGTGAGGTGCAGGGATGTAGCAGCTGTTGGATATATCCTCTCTACCAATAGAGAAATATGGGGCTGTGTTGTATTGCCAAGAACTGCTTCAATGGATTGAAAAATTAGAGGGAAAATCAGGAATTGATGGAGGGAAGGAATAGGAAAAATTCAGAATAAGTGGTAAGATGGGGACAGTTTTGATAAGAATTGGGGGAAACTCCGGCATTTCTTGCTTTATTTTGACATAAAAAGTAATATGGTCAGAATCTTTTGAAAATAAAGAAATGTCTTTGCAACAATGCTCTAACTTCCTACCTCCTTTTTAAGTAAATGTGTCCCTATGCTTTATGTAGTATAATTATTTTTATTCTTTACTTTATAGCAGATTGATCTAATAGGGTGCATATCAGTTATATAAGATTGTAACAGAAATCCCCCTCAAGTGTACTTAACAGAGTTGGCAATCTGCCAACCTGTATTTAAATTTCAGATTGTGTGGTCTCAGTCTCTCAGATTTTCTCCTACAAACATCATGTAATTTGAATTAGGATGTTTTTCAGCCGGATTTGTTCTAGTTTTTGTTACATTTCAGTTTCAAAGTATCTTGCAGCTTGTAAACTTTGTATCATAGAATTGATTCACATGAGTTAAAAGATTGAGCTAGCATGTGTGTGTGAGTGTGTCTTGTGTGCCACTTTGTGTCCTTATTCTGCTTCCTTAGGATTTAGCTGGAAATGAGATTGTTTTCAAGATACTGATTTGAGATTACAGTTTAAATGTGCACGAGTGTATTTGAGCTTTGTGTACCCCAGTCGTGTAAGAACAAAGTTGGTATAGTTGTCAGCAAAAGACTCAAATATGCTGCACCTTGACACCTCCCAGAAGTGCAGTACTCTGCAGAAACATGTAAAACTGCTATAACTGCATTTCCCATGAACTCTAGAAGGTAGGATATATCACTTGCTTTTTCTCCAAGGTCAGTGAACAACCCAAATAGGCATCTTCTCCCAGAAAGTTCAGCCTCACTCCATCTGGAGAGAGAAGGAAGTTTTCAAATTGGTTGAGTTTATCATTGCATGCAAAGTTTAAAAGTTTCTTATTGTTCACCTTTATAAAAATGGCAACAATCTGTCAAAAAAACCCAGTAAATTTAGATTCACAGATGATAGGTAACATACACACTGTATTCTGACACACTATGCTACTCAAAGGTAAGCTTGTAAGAATTTGGGAGTATCTGTATTCCAGATTTGGAGTGCTTTTCAGGAGTAGAGAGATTTTTTCAAGCTGTGGTTATCTCCTCCAAGTCTGTCTTCACTCTTAGAACATGGTTTGTGATGACTGTTTAGCCAAGGCAAGCAGACTGATGTTCTCTTCTCTTTCTATTCCTGCAAACTCTCTCTGTCTGAAGCTGCTGAGAGGGAAAGGATTCCTGTAAAGCTTTCCCTTCTCTCAGAACCTCCATCCCATGTTAGCATGTTCCCTCCATACCACTTGAGTTCCTGCCAGCTCTGGGAAGTGCAAGTCTGAAGCCTGAAAATTCAGATCATTGTTAAGTTCTGCCACCATGCCAAGCCCTGCCCCAAAGATGGTTAAATTCTAAGGCATTAAAAATTAAGTCTTTGGAAAAGAGGGTAAAATGCTGTTCACTTAGAAAAGCATTCAGTCAAATGACACCACCACAGTTTACCACTGACAGGGTCCTAGGAAAGGGAAAAACAGATGCATGGAAAGCAGTATGACTGCACTGTTTTAGACTACCCAACATGATTGCTTTATGTCTAAACATCAAAATTAATCTGTACACTGAAAAGGCCTCTATTTACTAAGAATGAAAAATTTAAAAATCATTGTCCACCGGATTTATTTTCTGTACTTAGTGATGTAATATTTCAGCTAGAAAAAAAAAGACACAGAAGGTCCACTGAAAGTCATAAATGCCTCCTTTAATTGCATACTTTCTGTTGGATTATTAGAATACTGCTATGATTATGGACTCTCCTAAGTACCAACTGCAGATACTTCAGACTATATGGCTGATTGTTCATTCACACATGATGATACCATGTTCCAGTATTTAATTGCAACAACTATAATGTATACAAAGCAGGATGGCATCTGAGTGGCTTGGTGCATTCTGAATACTGATAATGCCTCAAACAAATGTTAGTGTGTGGGATTAGTGAATATAAATTGAGAAAATGTAATTTAAAATTAATTTATTCTGTTCCTTAAATAATCCTGTCTGGTTTATAATGTAAAGCCAAATTATTGGCTGAGGCTTTAAACCCCAGAGTGGGTGCTGAGGAGGAGATGTTGAGAGGTAAATGTTCAAATATCCAGAAAGATGTTGGGAGACCTCTGGTCACATGGGAGCTTCTTCATACCTAATCTTTGTGTGGAAGCCTCCTGTTGATTTGTGGAGGACCTGACTGATAAGGATAATCTGGCAAAGAGATACCTATGCACCTTTGTCCTTGACAAATAGTAGGGTCATAGCAGTAATATTTATGCACTTTTTCCAATCTATTTGCCTATAACTGATTCAAGCTCTATTGGAAGACTCTTCTTGGCCCAATACATTCAGAAAGGCAGTTGTGGTATCATGGGACCATTGCAGTTTTGTAGTGCAGTGAGGGGTGAAGAGTGACATGGAGGCTATGCTCATCAGCATGAATTCATTCAGACCATCTGGGCTTCCTTGTAAACTTTTGAACATACATAATCTTGGAGCACCAAACAGCATACTTGTTTCAAATCCAGCTAAATTATCCTTACCAGAGTTCTGCTAGTATGTATGTTTAGTACCCTT